AATATTTTATTTATTTTTCTTATCAGTTTTCTGACGTCATAAATTTTAATATTTTACGTCATAATAACGACGTGAATAAAAAAATGCAACAACAAAACGATAGAAAAACAAAAAAAAAAAAAAAATTTGAAACACACGTCGAACGAAACCAATCTTTTCTCTCTCTCTCTCTCTCTCTCTCTCTCTCTCTCTCCCTTTTTGTTTTGTTTTTTTTCTCCTCCTCTTTCTGATAAAAATAATAATAATAATAATAATGATGATGAAAAGTCCAAACTCGTGCCAAGGGTTAAAAAAAAAAAATTTTTTTTTTACGGTGTCGTAACTTAACTCGGAAACAAAAAAATTTTTTTTTTTATGTACAGTTGAGTTAATAATTAATAATCAAAAAGAGCTCCTAAAAGGAGCCAAAATAGAAACTGGAAGCTAAAAAAGATTTAAAAAAAAGAGCAACGGGGAAAAAAAAACGTGATAATTTATTTTTGTTTATATGATTTTTAACAAATTCAAAAAGCAGAAGGAAAACAACTTTTGTAAATTTTTTTTTTTAAATGTCGAGAGGAAAAAAAAGCGGAAATAAGATAAAAGAATCAGATTTTTAAAAAAAGGGAGGAAGTTAAAAGGCGGTAACCAGAAATCCGGCAAAAGAGGGGGGAAAAAATTACGAAAGCGATTTCATCGATTATTATTATTATTATTATTATTATTATTATTATTATTATTATTATTAATTTTTAAATATTTATTTAATTTTTTTTTCCTTTTTATTCGTTTGTTGTTTGTCGTTGTCGTCTGTTTAAAGTCTAAAAAATATTTATTTGTAGAAAACAAATTAATACAAAAACAACAGAAAAAAAAAATTTTTTTTATTTATATTTTAACCGTTTCGGCGGCCATTTTGAAATCATTTTCTAAAAAAAAAAATTTCTTAACTTTTTTTATACGTTGGGTCCGGTCAAAACTGGAAACTTTTTCTGGAAAAAAAATTTTTTTTTTTTAAAAACTTTCTAAAACTGGAATTTATTAGTTTATTTATTTATTTATTTTTCGGGTTATTGTAAAAAGGAAAATTTATCTGGGAAAAAAAACAAACCGGAAAAAGCTATAATTTTTAAGGGTGAAACAGGCCGCCTTTTTTCTCCCCTGTCGTTGTAATTTTTTTTTAAAAACAATTTTAATAAAAAATAAAAATTTTCCGTTTCTCCGCCCTCCCCGTCTCTCTCTCTGCCCGCCTCCCTCTCCCATTTCCCCTCCCCTTACTCCTCCTTCTCTCCTTCCTTCTTCTCCCGCTTCTTCTTCTCCCCTCCTCCTTCCATACCGCACGGGTAAAATTTTCACTACAGGTAAAAAAAAAATTTTTTTTTTTTTTTACTCGATTTTTTTTTATTTATTTTAAACCGGAAATGAAACTCTCGGTTTAATTTCCTTATTTAGTTTATTTCGAAGGTATAAAAATGAACGATTTCACACACAAAAAAAAAATTTATTTTTCAAATATGGAAGGTTAAAAAAAAAGAAGCCAAAGTAAATAAAATTACGCAAACGTTTTAAATTTTTTTTTTTTTTTTTTTACGCTGCGTTTATTTGAAAATAAAACGACGACAGCAGCAGCAGGAACAGCAACAGCAGAAGTAGCAGAAGTAAAAAGATAGAGAAAAAATACATAATAATAATAAGATTTAAAAAAAAAAAAAAAAATTTTACAAGAGGAAAACAAATAAATCGAAAACGTTAGAAAAAAACGAATGAATGAATGAATGATTGATTGATTGATTGATTAAATAAAGTTTAAAAACAGGGATAAAAATATATGAGAGACACGTCAAATTATTGTAACGAACCTGAATAGAAACAATGAATAAAATCAAAGTGAATGAATGGAAAAAAAAAAAAACGTGAATAGAGGTAATAATAATAATAATAATAACAAGTGAATAATGTTAGTCTCGCGTTATTCGAGAACCCGTGAGATCGTTTATCAATTTTTTTTTTTTTATATTCATCCAACAGCATCCATTGTGATGACGTAAAAAAAAATTTTTTTTTTTTTTTTGTTCATAAAGAATGATTAAGTGGTGAGATTTTATTTCTTATTCTTCTCAATTTACTTAGAAGAAATAAAGATAAAAAGAAAAAAAAAACAAAAAAATGTCTTCTGCTAATTTTAAAATAAATTTTTTCTTTAATTTTCGCGCCATAAACAAATTTAAAAACGAAAAAAACGAAAACGGATTTTTGATTGGTGTTCGATTCGAAATCAAAAAAAAAAAAAAATCGTGATTGGTTGATTTATATTTTTTAAATTGATTATTAGCCAATCGGAATTTTTTATTTTTTTGATTGGTTGATTTTTTCGAACGTTAAAAACGATTATTATTAAACATTTATGATGACGGTTACAGATTAAATATACGGGAATGAGATTTTTTCCGGGATTTTTTTTTTTTTTATAACGACTTTGATGTTTTCGTTCCGGAAATGAAATTTTGAAATAATTCTAGAATGTATTAACGGTTTTTTTTTATTATCTTTTATTTAAAATTTAATTTTAAAACCACAGAAATTTAGTGATTTTATGTAAATTTAAATGCATTAAAAGTGTCTGACGTAAAAAAAAAAAAAAATGGGGAGGAAGAGAGAAAAAAAGGAAAAAAGGTTGATTATGAATCCTTTTAAAAAAATTTTTTTTTCCTTTTGCATTATTCAATAAGTTTTTTTCAGGTTTTTCCTTTTTTTCCTTTTTTTTTGTTGTTGCACGGTAGAAAAAAATGAAAAAAATTTTTTTTTACTCTTTTTAGTTGAATACAAAAAAAAAAATTTACTTAACATTATATTTTTTTTTTTTTTCCAGTAACAAAATTGACTCCGGTGCGACAGGTTGTACAACCGGAAACAACGGTTACGCCACCGGAAGAAAAAGTAGAAGAAGTTACACCATCACCTCCGAAACCGCAGTAAGCATTATTTATTTATTTATTTTTTATTTTTTAATGTTTTTAAATCGTTAAATCGATAAATTTTTTATTAAAAGCGAGAGACATTGAGAGAGAGAGAGAGACAGACAGAAAGGAAGAGGATGAGAGAAAGAGAGAGAGAGAGATAGAAATTTTTTTCTTTCGTTAAACTTTTACATGTTTAATAAAGAAAATATTTTGAAATTTATGCATCTTAAAGTTAATAAATAAGTTCTTAAATTTTTCTATATAAAAAGCTCTTATCCCGCATTTCTCTCTCTCTCTCTCTCTCTTTTGCTTTTCCACGCATACGTTTCATCTCTCTTTCTCTCTCTCTCTCTCTCTCTCTCTCTATTTTTCTTTTTCATGCACATGATCCTTCGCATTTTTTCTCTCTCTCTTCTCTTCTTTTACCGCGCTCGCGTTCCTCTCACTCTCTCACTCTCTCTCTCTTTCTTTCTCTTACTTGTTTCGGGGCAAAAAAATATTTTCCGGTTGTTGTAGAAATAATAATAATGATAATAATTTTTATTTTTAATATAATTTTTATCAAAAAAATAATAATAATAAGAAGAAGGAGAAAAATTTATCGCAAGTTTTGTAATTTTTTTTTTTTTCTGTTAATAGCAGACGAAATTGAAAAAAAATTTATTATACGTATTAATAATAATGATGATTTTAAATATATAATATTTATAAGGCATTTTATTAAATTAATCCGTCGACGAGTTTTTTTTTCAACGAATTTTAATTAATTTAAATAATAATAATAATAAAAAACAAACAAAAAAAAAAAATTTTTTATGTTTGTTTAGTTTTTGTTTTTTGTCGTTTGTTTCAGGTATAAAAAAAAAATTTTTTTGTCGAATCCGTTTTTTTTTTTTGTTTAAAATAATAAAACAAACGATTAAACTTTTGAGAGTTTGTTTCGTTTTATTTAAGTTTGTAATGTTGTTTGTCTCTTTTATTTTATCGTCGACGCCATTTTTATTTTTAAACGTCGAAAGTAAGAAACAATATTTTTTTCATTGGGATTCCTGGAGAATTTCCTTTTTTTTTTTTTTTTTCTTTTCATACCTTTTTCCTTTTAACGTTTTCGCTGTTGCCTTTTTTTTAATAATAATAAAACATGATAAATATTTATAATTTTGCGACAGACGATTGCGCGACAAAAAAGGAAAAAAGTAGACAAAAGAATCAATACATAAATAATTTTTTTTAATTTTCTTAACCCTACAGCAGGAAATTTTCTAATGTTTTACGTCCCACGACGGTGGAAAATTTAATTTTTAATAATAATAATAATGATTTGCATTAACTTTATTTTATTCCATCGGGAACTCGAACGAGTCGAAACCTGGAATAAAATTTCAAAGATTTCTGACGTTTTAAAAACGTCTTGTCAAAAAATAAAAACAAAAAACAAAATGACGACGACGACGACGACGATAATAATGATAATAATAATGATGATGAAATAAATATATAAAAAAAATGAAAATTTTATGTGACGTAATGCATCACCACCACCGCCACCGCCACCATCTTTAAAAAAGAAAACAAAATTTTTTTCTTTCAATGATTGATTTAAAAACGACGAAATAAAAGAGAGAGACGGAGAGAGAGAGAGAGAGAGAGAGAGAGAGAGAGAGAGAGAAACGGAAAATAAACTTAATAAAAAAAAAAAGAAAACAGGAAGGTTTTTCAAGTGTAATGGCGAGAGAAAGCGGATAATAAAAGAGTAAAAAAAAGTGTAAAAAGTGAAAAAAAGGAAAGCTGGTGACGAAATTTGACGTAAGAAAATGGCGTCCCTTCGGGCTTACTCGCGGGCATAACCGAATTTTATTTATTTTTCTTTTCTTTTCTTTTCTTTTTTTTTCCAGATCATTTCTTGCGATACTTTTTCTTTTTTCCATAACATTTATTCAATTCTTTATTGCTTCCCTCGATTTATCATCATTTCTTTTTTTTTTACGTCTTCATACGTTTAAAAATGAAATTTTTTTTTTATTCCCACGAAAATGATAATTTAAAAGAAGTAGGAAAAAAATGGCGGGAAAATTGTAATTTTACGCTTGGCAAACGTCAAAAATAAAATAAAAGTTTTAGTAAAAATGCTGTCGTCTTATTATTATTATTATTGTTTATTTTTAGAACAAAAGATGCCGGTAGAAGAGCTGGAACGTGTAGAGTTTGTCTTAAAAGTTTTAAACCAGAAGAATTTTTTAAAATGTGCTCCGAGTGTCAACAGAAAGTTTGCGAAGATTGTGCTTCTTATTCTAAACTCGATGAAAATCAAGATGAGGTGAGTTTTACTTTTATTAAGTTACCAAAAGGAGAGTAGAAAAAAGAGAGAGAGAGAGTGTGTGTATGTGTGTAAAAGAGAAAGAAAAAGAGATATAAAAAGAGATATAAGAAGAGAAAGAGAATAAAAGAGATAGAGTGAGACAAACGTTCATCGTCTTCGGTTCAAATGTTTTCAATTTTTTTTTTCTATTTCCACGACGGCAACAAAAAATTTCCGTTTTTTTTTGCTGCTGCTGTTACGGAAAACATATTTTTCAAAGTTACGCCTTTGAAAGGATCAAAAAAAAAATTTTTTTTTCTTTCCTTCTCTCTTATTCTGTTTTTTTTTTTTTTTTTACGGAAATTGTTTTTATTAGGTGAGGTTTCATTAACCCCCAACAGCACGCCATGAAATTTTTTTTAAAAATAATAATAATAACATATTAAATTATGCACGCTGTTGTTGAAAATATGATAAGCGAGTTTTAAAAATTTTTTTTCCTCCACATTTTTGGTTGTTACTTTTTAAATTTATTGGATAAATTTTTTTTATTTTTTATTTTTTGGGAAAACTTTTTTTTTTTCAGTCGCTTTCCGACTCCATCCTTCCCCCCCAATCCCATCCCCTTTTCAATTCCTTCCCTCTCGTAAAGGAAAAATTTTTCCTTTTTTTTTTTTATTAAATTAATTAATTAATTAATTTTTTTTTTTTTTTATAGCAAGCATTAAAAGTTTACCTGAAACGTTTTTACCTAGACGGGAATAAAAAAAAGAATAAGAGAGAATGAAAAAGAGAGATGCAATAAGAGTAAGAGTGAGAGAGGGAGAGAGAGAGAATTAATGTGAAGTGGTAGCGGAGGTTAAAATAGGTAATTCCGGATCGTTTCCAGGGCGGTGATGAACTCGTCGTAAATAAAATAAAAAAAAAAATTTTCACCGCTTTTTCATTCGCAAAAATTTAACATTTTCTTTCGTCCCCTCCCCCTCCACCCTCTCCCCCGTTTTTTTCCCCTTCCTTTCCTTCCCCCTCAAAAAAAAAAAAAAACTTGCAGAGTAACCCGATTCGATTTTTTTTTTATTTATAGAATATCGAATCGATTATCTCCGACGAATATTATCATTATTATTATTATTATTATTATTATTTAACGGTAACCTTTTCCGGTTTTTAGAGCACTTGGAGTTGTAGCATTTGCAGAAGAAAAAGACAAAGCAGAACGCAACCGGTAATAACGCAAGAATCGACGGACAGCCTACTGGAAGTACCAGTTTTAGAAGCACTTCAAAGGCGGCATTCGGATGTTAAAATAGGTAGCGGTTCAAGCGGAAACGCAAGCGGAAGTTTAGGCGGGGGTTTGGCTCCTCCAAGATCTCCAGAATTGAGACGTCATTCTGATGTTTCTCCAGCATCATTAAAAGAAATAGAAAAGGTATCTGTCATCAACAATATTGTTAATTACTTCTTCTTTTCTTATCTTTTTCTATTTCTTAAAAAAAATTTATTTCCTTTTTTTTTCTTTTACGTCTTAGTTTTACTCTATCCCATTAATTTCGAAAAAAAGTGTCAGTAGAACTATTATTATTATTTTTATCGTGATCATAATATATCGATTTAAAAAAGACCTTTAAATAATATCAAAAGATAAAACCAATTTTTCCGATTAACAAAAAAAAAAAAACGTGGAACTAATTTATTTTTTAAAAAACGTAATTATTTCATACAAAATATTTATTATCTTACGCCACTGAATTATTATTCACTTCGTCGAATCCGCAAATGTAAAATTTATGTTGTTTCAACGTTAATAATTAAACCCCCATCCCCTACTCCCCAACCTCCCTAAAAAAAAAAAATGATTTATGAACTTTTCCGGTGCGTACAAAAAAAAAAAAAAAATTAAAATCGTCAAATGAATTTTTTTTTGTTTTTAAAAGTTAAAAATTTCAATCGATCAATCGATCGATCGATTGTTAAATTCATCTATCGATTGATTGATTTTAAAGTCAAAGATCGGATCGGGATAAATAAATCCAAAACAAATAAAAAAAAAAAAGACAGACATTTTGAAAAAATAGATTGCATTAAACGTCAACATTGAATTTCATTTTCCCTAAATAAACTGTATCGAAACCGTCGGCGGCGGATTTACTGAGATCAGTGGCGGATCAAGTCAATAAAAAAAAATTTTTTTTTTTTTTCGGTTTATTGTATTATCGTTGTTTTTTTTTTCGTTGTTGTTATTATTATTATTAATACGGCACGCTAACACAATTGATTCATTTAAATTTACGAACCGAATGTAATTTTATGAAAAAATATCCGCCGGTCAATGATCTGAACAATACTGACAATTACTGAACGAGTGGGTTTGAGGGGATTTCGGAAAAAAAAAAAAATTTGTGGGAAAAATCAGATGCGAGAATTGTTTAAAAGGAGGGGGGAGAAATAAAAATAATAATAAGGCGGAAATGGGTGACGGCAAACAGGGGGAAAGGGGGGACAGGGTTGAATGAAAGAAAATCAGAGGAAAAATTTTCTGCCGGAAAAGCTTTCAATTGAGCGTGAAACTTAACAGCTGTCATTATAAATTAATGAATTTTTCCTTTTGTTCCGAACTAAAACTGATTTTTTTTTTTTTC